TAGATGAGCTGGAATGTACTTCAACAAGTGAGTAAGTATTAGGATTCACCATGTTATCCTATCCGTTGGCCCGTCCACGCAGTCAATGATAGGTTTCACCTTAAATAACGATGGATCGGTAGACACGAGATCATCGCTGGATACTAACTTATGGGTTTTGATAAGTAAGTACATGACGGTACATGATGGTAAGTCAACTTTAATCAACTTCGACTTCGGCTTTTTTTTTAATAGAAAGTCGGACTTGGGAGTTGCTACAAGATGTACCAGCAAGATATTTCCGACTTGCAAAAGAAAACTGTCACTAAGACAAAATGCACACTAGTTCGTAACCGCCTATACGACTGTCTATGTGCAACGAAAAATTGCATAATTTGCCCCAATGGTAGAGACGGTAACTGCATGAGTTCAGGTACAGTCTATCTGATCTCTTGTAAAGCGTGCGGGGACGAATACGTTGGCGAAATGGGTAGACTACTCTGCGTGCGTATAAAAGAACACCTAGTCTGCAAACGTAAACCAAATAATCCACTAAGCACGCATAGGAGGCAGAGACATAACGGAGAAGATTTTGAAGTAGGGGTTGCGAACCTCGCGCAAGAATCGAGAACAAAAGGGGGCAAGACTCTAGAGGCATTCTGGATTAATTCCAAGAAACCGAAAATGAACCGCAGGGAGGAATGCCTCATTATCACGCGTGATATTAGGTAGTATATAAGCCTGTTATTCTGATGAGATGGGCACATTACAATACCATGTGAATTCTGTTGTTGATCTCCACGTGTCATGTTTAGTGGAAGCCTCATAGAAAGCGGTCAATTTGCAAAGACTCTGTGTTCAGTGTGATTGAAATTTTTGTTTAGCATTTGCTCTGTTTGGTTATGGAGATGTTTGGCGGTGTAGATTGCAGTCAACTTGACCTTTCCAGGCTCTGAGGAAGGCGAATTCCGCCGCAGCTTCAGCTTGTACGTAAATAGAGAAATAAAATAACACCTCGTGTTTGATGAACAGAAGTAGAAAGAATTATTCAATCATTGCCGAGCTTAATAGAAAGTCGGACGTGGGAGTTTCTAACCGATGATTTCCATCCAAAATCAACTTGGACACTTGGACGGCCCGCCCTCACTGGTTGTGCGGGCCACAGCATATTCTCCATTTTTCGGAGTTTTGATTGTTTAGTCATCGTGTTTACCCGAAGTCCCAAGGTCAGCCAGGCAAAAGTGTGCCGTTGGTCGTCACCACCACGCTCAGTCGCCGCCTTTGTGGATCAGGAGACGATTTGCCACCAAGCGACTAGTTTGATATCAGAGTAGTGGTGGATCTCGGCATTGGCTTACTCTTAGCTGAGCTTTTCTATGGAAACACCGGACTCCTTTTTAGCTCGGGACACCCTACCGGAAATGTATCCCAAGCTATGTATCGCAGCCTGACACCCAGAAACACCTCCCAGCCATGATGACGTAGTAAATTGTTGGGAGGATTGAAAATCAACAAATTTAGCAAATAGGATCTACTACTTTACAGGTGACATAGAAAATATGTCATTATTCGAACAATAAAAAAGTACCGCTACAACTGCATTGTCATCATAGAACCACTAGCCTTATTATCGTTACAACTATTTTAAGAGCACATCACAAACCATCTCCAAAATGGAGAATTTTTTGCGACGTTGGGCATGAAAATAGAGTGTTGAGGTAAATGACTCAGAGTTACCACTTAGAAAAATGAGCGGTGCTTTCTTCTCGTTTTCTTTCACCGCTAAGCTAAGAGGAGGCTGATAAACAACCTTATTTGGCTGATTCGTTTCGGCGCCTTTGCTTTTCTTGGACCCAGACTGATTGGAGCCGATTATCCAAACTTCTTTCTTTTCTGATGGCGATCTTAGTGATCGCATCGAGACGAGTCCAGTGGAGCACCGCACAGATAGCCTCATTCGGCAGTGTTCTCTTATTCAGTTGTTGTTGATAGTAATTTCCCGTTGACAACAAATTGTTTTATCCTGGAAACTCATACTGTAGTAGTTGGTATCATTATCAGTTGGCAAATAACGAAATAAAATTACAGAAACCGACCTTCCTTTAACCTCAGTGTGTTAGATGTGTCAGCCGAAGGATAAGGCGAGTAAATTTTTCTTATTGACCTCTTTTTAGCTCATCAATGAAGGCAAACATATTGATTAATCATGCTAAGGTTAAAGGACGGTCAGCTTTTAAGACACTTCCTGTTTCGCCTGGGATAAATAAAAATAGCTTTTGGCGTTGATCAATCCCTGAGGGATACGCCATGTATTCGACTTCATTACACATCCTTAGAGGTGACTTAATGCATATCTGACCTTTACAATGAGTTGTAGTGGCGTACTGTTGTATCGAACTAGTGCTGATGCTCCCTCAAGCAAGTCTGGTACCAGTTTGCCGACCCCGGCATGATGGTGGGCTTGGTGGGGTTGGGGCGTCCGGATCGATCCCATGTGTATTCTGTGCCCTTCCGACCACTGCGCTACATGAGTCCTAATTCGCCAGAGATACTCTTCCAAAATATCTGCAGTTTTCTGTGCCGGTAATAATTTCTGCGATTTGGCAATGAACCATGGGAACGATGAGCTAAAAAGAGGTCAATAAAAAAAATTTACTCTCCTTATCCTTCGGCTGACACATCTAACACACTGAGGTTAAAGGAAGGTCGGATTCTGTAATTTTATTTCGTTATTTGCCAACTGATAATGATACCAACTACTACAGTATGAGTTTCCAGGATAAAACAATTTGTTGTCAACGGGAAATTACTATCAACAACAACTGAATAAGAGAACACTGCCGAATGAGGCTATCTGTGCGGTGCTCCACTGGACTCGTCTCGATGCGATCACTAAGATCGCCATCAGAAAAGAAAGAAGTGTGGATAATCGGCTCCAATCAGTCTGGGTCCAAGAAAAGCAAAGGCGCCGAAACGAATCAGCCAAATAAGGTTGTTTATCAGCCTCCTCTTAGCTTAGCGGTGAAAGAAAACGAGAAGAAAGCACAGCGGGGACGATTTTGATGTAAAAGTAGCTGTCCTCGCACATGATCCTAAAACACCAACGCGCAAACTCCTCGAGGCTTTTTGGATAAATGCCTAAAACCCTTCAATCAATAGCAAGGAGGAATGCCTCGAAACCACACGTGATCTAGCCGTTTACCTTCGTATCGATCATTGGTGGGGATTGGGCAGTCGTCAACCATATGCGACTCTGAGCCGCTGTTCTTCCTCGGTGGAAGACAGGTGAAAAAAGTGGTGCTTTTTTCGAGAAGGCGTAGATTTTGTAATTATCGTTCAGATTTTCAATTTTCTGCTTATGCTGTTGAAGCGTTTGCCGTAGTAAGTTGCATATTAGTGTACCCTTCCAGGCTCTGAAGAAGGAGATTCTGCCGATACGTCAGCTACGGTTGTGTTGCATATGTGTTATTGTATGGAAGTAAACGTATGTTATTTAGCAACCTCGCAATTGTTGAGAGAGAAAACGACGAATCTATGAGCCAATGCCGAGGTTAATAAAAAGTCGATCCTGAAAACAAGAAGTCGTAGCTCTACTGCTACTATAGCCGTCTCTCAAAGCGAAAATCTGGTACGGATTTTGCATGGATGGATGAGGAGTCAGTCTTACTACCCAATACTTTTTGGACATTGCACATCCTATTTTTTTTTTGAATGCTTTTAAAAACCACCTATAGGAGAATGATTTATCTCCGAGGATACAGTTCGAACATTAAGATTGAACAATGCACACTAATTCACACTAAACAATGCAGATTTTCGATTCCAGGTATGCAGTAGCTTCGATGACTTTTTGTAGAAAGTAACGCGACTTGTCTTTGAGACCACATTCTTACATTTAAAATAAAATTATATTCCAAAATCACGCTCACGACCATAAAGTATTCCCATAAACTTATCAGCTGCCATGCTTCCCAAGTCTTCCCAAGCAGAATTTATTTCTTCTTTAACAAATTTGGTTTCATATTATAGGAGAGTATAAATCGGCATTAAATCCGGTGAAGTTGAGGCTGTAGTCGAAATCGCAAGGTGGAATTCTTATTTTACCGCCCATTGTTTCTTTATCAGGTAAGAATTATGTGAGACACAACGACAGTGATGCTGAGATATTTGCAAAACTTCGACCTCAGGCCATATTCGCGGCCGCAATTACACTTTGTGGTGGCTCACATGTTATCCACCGTGGTTTCCCCGTTGACGGGTTATTTTTGGTAGCATCGTTAAAGAAAACACAGCCCAAGAGAGAGACAAAGCAAATTTCTCAGTGGTGCAGTGATACGTCAATCCCGGAAAAGGTAATACCTGGTATGAATTTGGTCTGGGTCCCAAGTTTTGCAATCACCTCAGCATTACTGTGTCTGCAACATTGTCAATTTAGCCACTATCTAGTCCCCATCACGAAGAGTTGCCAACTTTTGCGAGTCAGAGAGAGACAAATGTCGAAAACGGCTCTGGAATCCACTGGCCGACGTGCGCGTGTTCGTGTTGAGAGCCGTGGCGAGACCGAAACAAGCTCAAGTTCGCACTTTGCTTGTAAGGGGAGCACAACACCTCTTCCATTCTTCAGCTAAGGGTATTATTATATACACTGATTTTCTCACTGAATCTTTTCTTACATCCTCATTTTTTTTGCACTTAAAAGAGCATATATTAATAACGGAACATCATTAAAACGTTGTTTCTTATGTCAAGGGTGAGTTTCCTTAGTATAAAGCTAGAAATACCCCATATGTAGTACTAATCCGATGAAATATCTAATTCATAGAGAGATGAATATAGCAAAAAACTTCAGCAGTTAAAACTACAAACTATGAAGAAAGACGAATGTCTCGGGTATCGTCAAGAAGCCAAGTGAGTGTGACTGTGCGTGAGTAACGGATTTATCTTGTTGAATGCAATGTATTTCAAAAATTTTTCACTGTTGCAACAGAATAAGACAAATAAGTCGACGAATGTCGTAGACTTCAAGAATCGTTTTCATAGCTCTCTGGGTATCCTTCATTCATACCCGAAAAACCACTTGAACCCCCTTGAAATCCACCAAAGCCTCCTGGGTATCCTCCACCACTTCCTGGAAAACCTCCACCACCTCCTGGATATCCTCCACCACTTCCTGGATATTCTCCACAGTCTCCTGAACATCCACCATCGTCTCCTGGAATTTTTTCGTTTTCTAAATGAAATGCTATATCACAATTTATTAACGTATTCGAAGAAATTTAATGTACTAACCTGGAATTCCTTCCAAATTCAGCAAATAGTTTTCGACTATGAAGGAGACAACATGTTTCTGCTTCTCATCCAGCTTGTTGAACAGCGCTAGATTTTTGCGGGATAAACCGTCTATCGTCATTTTCTGGAATACCAACGCTCTATTTAAGTAATCATCTTTCTTACGGAACTTTTTTCTAAACATTTTAGTACATGCATTCTCTTCGAGGTAAGGATGAATTCGAAAAGTGAATAGAAGAATTCAAGAAGAATAAGGTGGGACGTCTGAAGCAGAAAGTTAGGGAACGAAATTAAAAATCTCTTCATTGAGATTTAGCTTCTCTTTGTTAATAATAACCATGAGAACGAGGTCTTATTCACACCTTGTCCTTAACAAGCTTTACGTATTCTTTGAAGTATTTGGCGAGTACTTTCAACAGTTTATCGACGGATCGTTCAAATTCTTCATGTTGCCTTTTGTGCTCCTCAACGGAAGCTTTGTATTTATTCTGAAATCGAAAGACTTCATCATTCTCTTCTTTAAACGGCAACTGTGCGACGTTTACCTCAACACCATACTTTTTCGCCCACCGTCCCAATGCTTTCTCCATTTGCTCGATGGTTTGTGATGTTCTCTGAAAATAACCGTAACGGCAATAGTGCTGGTGGTACAGCGGTAGAACCGATCGTTTTCTACTGTTTGAACAATGATACACATTTTCTTTGCGTTGCCTGTAAATAAGTAAATGGAATGTCTATCTGCCCAATCGGTCGATTTCCATTGGAAATCATCGGTTGGATTTCAGGCAAAGCCATTAGTTGACATACGCAAAGCGATAACCTTCTTGAAGAGCTTGTAAAACTCTCATTAAAAGAATATCATACGTCAATGAATCTTTTATTTTAGAGAGTATCGCTTGAATTCTATAAGAAAGTTGGTCCTACTATCGCACTCCGGTACTAAAGTAACGTCCTAATATTATAAGGCAAAAACTTTGAGGAAAACACACCAGGGTTGTTCTTCTTTCTGCGAGGATAGGTTTAGAGGTATTGCGGGACCGATAAGGTTAGAGTGAAATTCATTTTGTATCATGGTAGAAGATGTTGGACATCCGATCGTCATTCAAAACTATTGTTGGGGTAAATTATGCTGAAGATAGCAGAGAGTTCGCATTATGACCATACATGTTAGTTGTATTGCGATCCGATCAACAATCAGATTCTTTTTCTACATGAGCAACTCTTTGCCTTTGGAGTGCAAACATTTTTCCATTAAAGCACTGAGTCTGCTTAATAAAATATTTGCTCCACAATGGCAAGCGTTTCAGAAGATTTCACTTGTGTGCTCGTAATTAAAATTCAGCTATCGAAATTATGTGCGTAGAAGGTTGGATATGATCCGGATTTTTTTCCGTACCTGAACGATTTTAGTGTACTCGGAAATAGCTTTCCCAGACAAGCCTTCCAGGAAGTCTTCGTAAGAATGTCCCTGACTACCATCATGAGAATGCCCTGTGTAGTCGCTGTCCTACAAAAAGTTGTCAGTATTGATTTATCTTCACAAAAGAAGGAAAAGATATGAAAGCGATATCAAGGACTTTGAATTTTTCTAAATTTCTATATCCATGATTGCTTCGCATGCTGTCTACTTCGTTCAGCTTCCTAGGTTTTATATCAAAAAATAAATTTTATTAACTTCGTAGTGTTACGCTTCTACTACTTTTTCATGGCAGAGTGTTATTTGAAACATAATAAGCATAAGCATTCAAAAATTTGCAATATAAGAGATATAAGCAAGAATCGGAATCCCGGCGGTTATGCTTCGAACTCGGGTTACTCTACCAAAGGGCTCACTTGTTATCCGTTGCACTATCGAGGCCCTTGCTTTTCTTTTTCTCAGCCATTTCTTTTATCCTAACGGTGGCATGATATAGTATGATTTAGAATTTTTTTTACCATTTATTCACTTTTCATCGTCGAATCGATATCATCATCAAGAGAAAACACTTACCTTATCGTAAGGGTTATAGCCAGGATAGCAAAGCGCATAGCCAATGCATAGGAGAATTGCTACGCCTTTCATTTTGTCGCCAGTGACTCACCTAAGATTTAGGAAATTCATGAACTCATTTCGAATTTTTATAAATGTCGTTGACTTTTCTTTGCTGTTATCGAAGAAAAGGCAACATGTGGCTATAAGACGCCAAAAGCAATTTAGGAGACGAGAAGACGAAACTGTTATAGAAGGTTTTGTGTTTTAATGGCAGGATTCAGGAACGATAGACCAGTGAAGAATGCTGTTGTGATCTGATACGCGCAGTTTTATAGAGAGAGCAAGTAAATTTGTTCAGACTGCATGTGAAACAAAGCAGTTAGATTTGCAAAATCACGCCATCTTTGAAAAGAAAATGATAGGACATTATCCAGTGGTGTGCTGGAATAACTGCATCTGTGAACACAAAGAAATTGTAAGCGGAAGCGCGGAGTCATTTTGTTATCGTCACTTCATTCAGGATACTGTAATGGTTCTGAGTTATTTCGGTGACGACACGCTGGGAGAAAAAGGTGCGCAGTTCATTAATGTTATAGCCGAGTTTTCATTAGCATCTGCCATTGGTTGGAGGCAGTGTAACAGTGTTTCCATCAATCATTTTGAAACCAACCGTCGTGAAACCTCGGTGGTAAAGTAATCAACATGTGCTTATATTGTTAAGCTTAAATGAGGCTGATAGAGATGCTTATTCGGCTGATATTTCGACTTCTTCGTCTTCATGAGAGCCGGCGACCCTTGTCAATGCTCCACAGTTGTTCCTCTTCTCGTTGCGGCGTCTTCATCTCGCATCGAACTGGATCTTCCTCAGCGGAGCAGCTCGAATGAGGCATACTCACTCAGCGATGCTCTTTTATACAAAGCGGTTGTTGTTAGTATGATTATTCGTTTATAATAAGTTGTTTTTCAACGGATAATCATGATGAATCTATTGCGCAGAAAAGAAGAACTCACAGACTGTCAAGTAACTCGGCGATTTATGTGATCACAGACTATAGAGGTTCCACAAAAGTACGCCTAGCGATGGAAAACCGGATGCAGTAACAAGGAATGCAGAAAAAATTATAAGGATTACCAATCGTAGCTTTTCATGAATATTCTAGATTTTCAGAAACTATTATTCTTTTAGGCGCTACCTGTGATGCAGGGCGGGTATAGAAAACTGGTAGTTATTCTAGGAGGCACTAGCGTCCATGCTACTCTCGATCACATATGTTCCGTGAGCGCTCTTGGTAGCCTTCTAAAATTCGCTTCAGTGCCTTGTTTATCGAGGATTTTCTTCCTTGCAGGTATTTGATGACACTAATCAGATCTGATTAATCGGCGAACTAGGTTTTTCTAGCATATTGAATGAGTATGAAGATGGAGCGTGAGTGAAAGTCGTTGGATAACAAATCCGACGGTAGATGGACCCTGTAATTTTTTTGGCATTCCGGTTACTGCATGTGCTTTTAAATTCTCAAGTGTACCCTTGTGTAACCTGTATCGCCTGTGCTCCTGTTAATCGCCGAGCACCTAAACAGTCTGAATTCTTTTTTTTGGATAACGGAACCACCAAAGTTTTGAAATAAAGCTTTTTCTTTCCCATTTGGGTTCAGTTGAGATAATCACTTTTTTGATGACATACCTCTGAGTCGTATTGCAGAACTGAAATTTTTCGATAACTAACAAGATGAAAGGAATGTTGTTCTCGCGTGGTAAAATATCCCTCTATCATTGACCCAAAGTGCTTGGTATCAACTGCTTACGGGCAATAAATTTAGTGAAACTGGGCTAAATTTTTGTGTACTGTTTAAGGCATAATGTGAATTCTTTCTCAGTTTTTAAGTTTTTAAGAAACATGATTAATTTCTAGGGTTAAAAACACCGCTGCACTGCCTCTAAGCTATAGTAGATGTTAAGGAAAACGAGGCTGTAGTAATAATGAAAGTTGCCACTTTTTATCAGCATGTTTTTACTGAAGTACGTTAGATCCATTACAGTGCCTTAGCTAATGTGGCAATAACAAGACGAGTCAACACTTCCGTTCATAACTCCTTTATGTCCGCAGCTGCAGTTATTCCTGATTGCTATCACGTGACATCGCGTCATTTCCTTTGCAAAAGTGGAATGATGTTGTCCACCTAGCTGTTTTGTTCCACCTTAATCTGAACAAATCTAACCGATATCCTTATAAGACAGCGCGCATTCAATCATATTATCCTCCTATTCTAGTCGATCATCGCTAAATCTTACCATTAAACACGAAAGCTTGTGCTTCAGTAAGCTTCACTTGCCTAGTCAATATATTTCTTTGAATTGTTCAGTTTACGTGAAATTGGCACAAAACTTTTATTCGGCAGACGTCTCGACGTCTTCGTCTTCGTCAGAGCCGATGATCCGAGTCGATGGTCCACTGTCGTTCGTCTTCTTGACGTGCAGTCCTCGTTGTGGTGCGGAGCTGAATTTCCTTCAGTGGAGCACGTAAAAATTTGTATATCTACCTCATATTCACCTTTCTTAAATTTTTTTTTGGTGTCCTATAATTACACATCGTTATCGCTTCGATAGAAACAAACACGACTCAACGTTTTTTACGCGAACCAAAACTGAGTTCATGACTTTTCTACGTTCTAGGTGCCACACACTCGAAAAATGAAAGCCTTAGTAATTCTTCTGTGCATAGGCTACACGCTTTCCCACCCTGGCCATAATCCATATGATCAGATAAGTACTTTCTTAGCAATGAAATAAATAAGTTGAATTTTTTTGACGTAAATTTTTAAAAGTAGAAAAACATGTGCATCATGTGAAACAATCATGAAAGAAGAAAAACTTTAATACTCTCGGTTCTTGCTTTAGTTTCCATTTTCTATTGTCATCTCTTAGAGCAAATCAATATTAACGGTTTCCTTTTCAGGACACCGACTACATAGACCATTTTCACGAAGGCGGTCAGAGACATTTTCACGATGACTTCCTGGAAGGCTTGTCGCAGAAGGCTCTTTCTGAGTACTCCAAAATTGTTCAGGTACGGCAGAAAACGACAATATCGCAGTATCTTATTTCCAACCCATATAATTTCGACACTTGTATATTATTTGGACTTGGACTTAGACGGTCCATCTTCACGACTTATGCGGATCCAAGGACACTTGCGATTCTTTTCGTTTCTTTGAAATCGTTGTCCACGATGGTGGTTTTATTCGAACACCGTGGCGTGTGTGAGTATCATACCATAATCTCCAAAACAACTGCAGCTGCAAATACAGCCAACTAACTTTGGTGACGAACACGTCCGCCCAACGTGTGATCGTCCTAGGAAGACGTCTGCATGCTCGTGGAGTCCGCTGCACAGTTCCTTTCGTCCATCTGTCGTCTGTTCTCCGGGTTAAGTAACTGACCCATGTGTGAATGTGGAATTCTCTGAAACGCTTGTCGTTATGGAGCAAACATTTTATAAACGCATCGTTTCCTTGTTCAGCAATCGCAAGGTTTTTAAACAGCATACATTTTCTTCCATAGAGAAACGCATTGCAATACAACACTAGCTGACGTTTCGGCAGTATTGCTTTCTTCAGAGCCTGGAAGGGTATACTGATATACAACCTACTAGGCCAAACGCTTCAATAACACTTACAAAAAGACCAAAAACTCTATAATAACTACATAACCAATTACAGAAGAGTTAGTAGTTACTCCTCGCCAGCTAAATGTTCAGATAACAAAGAAACATCTTAATGATGCTACTCTCTATCGTCTATCCTTTGAAAAGGATTATAAAAGTCAATACCGAAAGCTAAACAATCAATGGTTCAGTGTGGCAAAGGCTGCGGGTTTAAAATCATCGGTTATTTCACACTTTAAAATTAATAGACCGACATGTGCCGTCCTATACCTACTTATTAAAACACATAAGTTGGTATCACCTAATGACCTTGGGTCAACCAATCCGTTATTTAAGGTTAGGTCCATCATCAGTTGTGTAGGTAGGCCAACGGAAAGAATAACCTGGATTTTAAGCCTGATACTTACCCAGTTGCTTAACCACATTCCAGCTCACATCACAAGCACCCAAATGTTCAGCACTTTCTTATAGAATTCATGCAATATTCTCTAAAATAAAAGATTTATTGACGTGTGATATTTTTTTAAATGAGAGTTTTACAAGCTCTTCAAGAAGGTTGTCGCTTTGCGTATGTCAACTAATGGCTTTGCCTGAAATCCAACCGATGATTTCCAATGGAAATCGACCGATTGGGCAGATAGACATTCCACCTACTTATTTACAGGCAACGCAAAGAAAATGTGTATCATTGTTCAAACAATAGAAAACGATCGGTGCTACCGCTGTACCACCAGCACTATTGCCGTTACGGTTACTTTCAGAGAACATCACAAACCATCGAGCAAATGGAGAAAGCATTGGGACGTTGGGCGAAAAAGTATGGTGTTGAGGTAAACGTCGCACAGTTGCCGTTTAAAGAAAAGAACGATGAAATGTTTCGATTTCAGAATAAATACAAAGCTTCCGTTGAGGAGCACAAAAGGCAACATGAAGAATTTGAACGATCCGTCGATAAACTGTTGAAAGTACTCGCCAAATACTTCAAAGAATACGTAAAGCTTGTTAAGGACAAGGTGTGAATAAGACCTCGTTCTCATGGTTATTATTAACAAAGAGAAGCTAAATCTCAATGAAGAGATTTTTAATTTCGTTCCCTAACTTTTTGCTTTAGACGTCCGACTTTATTCTTCTTGAATTCTTCTATTCACTTTTCGAATTCATCCTTACCTCGAAGAGAATACATGTACTAAAACGTTTAGAAAAAAGTTCCGTAAGAAAGATGATTACTTAAATAGAGCGTTGGTATTCCAGAAAATGACGATAGACGGTTTATCCCGCAAAAATCTAGCGCTGTTCAACAAGCTGGATGAGAAGCAGAAACATGTTGTCTCCTTCATAGTCGAAAACTATTTGCTGAATTTGGAAGGAATTCCAGGTTAGTACATTAAATTACTTTAAATACATTAATGCATTGTGATATAGCATTCTAATTAGAAAACGAAAAATTTCCAGGAGACGATGAAGGCTGCACAGGAGACTGTGGAGGATTCGGAGGAAGTGGTAGAGGATATCCAGGAGGTGGTGGAGGATATCCAGGAGGTGGTGGAGGATATCCAGGAGGTGGATATCCATAAGGTGGTGGAGGATATCCAGGAAGTGGTGGACGATTCCCAGAAAGTGATGGAGGATTCCAAGGAGGTTCTGGAGGTTTTCCGGAAATGAATGAAGGATATCCAGAAAATTACGATAGATACTCTAGAAAAGAAGGAATGCATGCAAACATTGACGGAGACACTGGTATTGGTGCCCCATTGCTATCAGAGGCGAATTTAGATCAAGAGATCGTAGATGAATCTAGAAGAATCTAAGTTTGCTGACCAACTTATCTTGTAAGCCGCATCAATAATAAAAAATTTCGAAATTCGTTGCAGTTATTAAAAAACCTCCATCACCTATGGACCATTAGCTTTTTTATCTTTTCAATACTATCGATATTTTGATTCATCAGTCATTCAATTTCCGCAGGACTTCGGGCATTGTAAAGCTTTCTGCATGAATTATTCACGTTATCAAGAAAATGATATGTAGAATTTCCGGCTTAGTGATAGGAACACAATTGATTGCCTCTTCGTAGCTAATCGATAAAATCAGCAGCACTTTACAGTTTTGCTGTTTAGGCATTTTCGATAAAATGGAAGAAAAGCGGCTACAAGGAAAACAAAAGGGTCTACCGAAGCAAAAAACAAGGTGCATTGTGATATGTCGAGCTACTGAGGAGCAAAACGTTCAGTCTTTTTATTTTAATACGGAGGAAAACTTCGGAATAGAAATTAAAACAAGTGACTGACAAACACCGAAGTGGAACTACCACTAATAAAAACAATTTATGCTTATCTTCAAATTTTAATAATATGGCATTCCTGTGGAGGAGCCAAATGGATTTTTACTGACTAGTGCATTACATAAAAAATTCCGGAGAAAAGTAACATAGTGCTAACAACAACAGCCTTCGATAGGGCGAGTGGGACACTCGTAGTGGCGTCGGTCACTACACGGAAAGGCCAACCATGCCAAAGCCTCTGTTAGAGACCGTATTGAACTCATCAAACATTTTATCACTCTGGGATCGAAACAATTGCTTCCACAGTTTCTGGTATTACTTTATTTCCTCTAGTCGAAGTAGGAGCACCTGGCACTGAGATCCTAGGACTTCAAGAAAAATTGATTCAATCGTCAGTAAGAAATTCCTAATAAAAGAGAAAATCCTCAAGTAGCAGCGAAAGTCACTCAAGAAAGAAGTTTAAAGAACTTTTTTAACTGTGGATAAAAGAAAACGGATCAAATACAGGAGGCGCTGGGATCCACACATTATGATACATGTGGTATCTCTTCGTGCAATACGAAATAATAAAAGTAGTCGATTGACCAAAAATGAACACAATGACTCGTAGACTGACTCGTAGACAATGACTTGCCTATCTCGGTGAAAGATGTCGTTCTATTTGTGAGTAGTTCCACTTGTGGTTAGTTAGTTCAACTAGCTGATAAAAAGTTTCAGTTGTGTAAGGAGAAATATTTGTTCATCATTATAAGAAGGAAAATCCCAAAGACTGATAAAGAGAGCGCTAGTTTAGTGCGATCTTAGTCTTTAATTGATATATAATAAATCATTTAAGTGATCATTCCTCATGGGTCGCGAAGAATCGCACCGTTCCCAGATCTTGGCTGATTTCTTATCGGGGCGACAATGTTTTTTGGTCTTGGTTTTTGCTTTAAATTTTACTGGGAATGGAAACGTCGGACTACTTCTTAACATGAAACGTCATGTGGAGGTTCTGCACCAGTTGAACATAGCAGTTTGTCATGCGGGAACAACCCATTAAGAGGAAACGCGGTCCACCACTATGCGTGCTTGACAAATTATAAACCAAATGTTGTTTTCGATATACTGCAAAATATTTTCCTAAAATAAGCATACGCGTAGTGCAGTGGTCAGAGGTACCCTGTATCTGGTTCGGTCACCTACTCTAGGCTCTTAATTACTTTCTTACACACTTAAACGGTTCGCCTTCATCAGTTGTGCAGATTTCATTACATTTGCCATTTGGTTCTTTTTCTTAGGCTTTACGTCTCGGCTTTATGTAGTGTGTGCTGGTTGTATTGCTTAACAAGGCATCGTTTAAGTGCTGCCGACTTCTGAAGAGCTGGAAACCACCATATACATAAAGTTTTGGCAAACCCAATGGCAGCTTTTCCTCATAAAGAAAGAATCGCAGACTAGTAAGTGACTTCGCTCACTATTATCCTGTCCAAGAAAGACGACGGAAGGGACCTTCGTAATTTTTGTCCGTTATGCTTGTTGAGTGCATTACAGGAGCTATCCATGAAAATTATCCTGTCGCTCATATCGCGGAAATAGGAAAAGGTGCAACCAGATGAGCAAGCAGGATTTCGGCAAGGATTTTTCTGCATGGTCCACATCTGTAACAGCAATTTTACAGAGTTACAGTTACTGATCCTCGTAATTACTGTTTGAGAATAATTAAGCCATATGCTTAAACTGGCCATCCAAATTCGTATATGAGGCTTTTCAGCAATCAATTACACTTTTTTCACAAGAAAACCTAGTACAAAGCCCAGGAAAAGTCTATGCGCATTATCTCGAGCGTGAATAAATGCCTTTCATGACATGAAACACATGCTCATTCGGTTTTGTTTGTTGAACCAAAAAGTATTTTTACATGACAATATTTCAGGGATAAATGGCTCTACTCGCTAGCAACGTGCAACCAGTTCTGATATTAGGATTTCATTCAAATATCATGTTTTGTTGAACGCATGCTGTTTTACAAGCACTGTATGCTTGTGTACTCTATGTATTTTTTATTTAGCTACAGTTCATTTTGCGTCGTAACCATAAAGAAGAAGATTTGGATATCAAGAACTGTTGGCGAAAGAACAACACAGACTTCTCATGAGAGTAACTCCATTGCTAGTTAATTCCCTCCCTTCAACTGTGAACTGGGCGACCACCTTTAGGGGTTTAAGAACTGCAGAAGATACATTGTCTAAAACATTTTTTATTATTTTCTGCGAGTTATAAAAGTCTCCAATATCGCGATAACGTTGGTTCTTGTGTGTGGCTTCAGTAAAATGTATTCAGTCTGCTGTATTGTCATCCTGTACTCGGTTGATACGCTGAAGTGCTCTACCCCGTTAACCCATACGGTGTTGTACAGGACGATACTTACTGAAACAAAAAACTGTATGGGTGGTGTTGACTACTTGAACCGGAAACCTGATACATAGCATGATGTCCTCTAAGGAAAAAATTTACATCGAATCCATTACAGGATGATTTCTTACCCAAACAAAATGCTGTCAATGCTCAGAGCAATAGCGTCGTACATGGCATTTTCCAAATTTGACGATTTTCCAGAATAAGCGCTTTTGAGCTTTATTTTTAAAAGCGTCAGTAAAAAAATGTGGGTAAGGATTGGGAATTGCTTCCAAACATGCAATTTGATGAATCACATTGGCGACCAACTTCTTTGTTAATGCGCTTCCTAGACATTGTTTGTAATAGGATACTTGGATAGTTGGATGATCGGTACTCATTGGTTGTGCGGGTCCCATTAATTGCCATTTTGTCAGAGTTTTGCCGGTTTAGCCATTGTGGTTCTCTGGAGTCCCAAGGTCAGCCAGGACAAAGTCTACCGCAGGTCTTCACCACCACGGGCAGTCGCAGCCTTTGTGGATCAAGGAGATTTGCTACCATTCGACTAGGTTTGATACCACCACGGTGGCGGATCCTAGCATTCGTTTACTCCTAGCTGGATTTCCTGTTGGAAACGCGGGATGGACTTTTTCGCAGCGTGGAAGACACTGCTGTAGGATAAATCTCCCTGTTGTAGATCGCAGCCCGACGCCCAGAAACACCTCCCAGCCATGATGAGGCTGTAAGCCGTTGGAAAGTTATTTATAATTATTAGTTTCAACTAAATATCTCTTGGTAAATAACCTGTATGATTTTATTTTGATTGCTTTATTTCTCTTATGTACATTGTATTTCTCGAGTTGTTGTATTATAGGCTGAATCTCCGCAAAATGAACTTCGATGTAGACCTTTTGGAAATTATTAAGTGCAGAGAACGTCACTTTTGCTTTCAGCTCAACTGTTTCGACCACCTTTCGGCTAGCTATTGAATGAATACGGATAGGAAAGAGCCTATAGTGTAGTGTCCTCTGGTACAAACGGCTTGGACACTAGTATGTATCCATTTTTCCACTATTGATCGTCGAGTGACTCGAGCGGACGCCAGTAAATCTTCCACTTTTCCCCGTCGTGTACAAGAGTAGTCCAGTGGGTTCTGCTCGCTCTAAGGACTCGTTGAGCACCGTCTTTTCTTCTAGAGTTTTCGTAAAGAACTCTGACCATCGGCTCGGTGGCCGCTGGGCGTTTGACATTGCAACGAATCCAGTCACTAACGGCACTTGTCCATCGGTTGTCGCTCATACGCATTGCCTGTCCGGCCTACCATACCGTGAGCAGTTGGTATTATATAGAACGGTGCTTTTGATTTTTGATTGTCGACACGGGTCGGAGCTTCGGAGTCCTTCCCTCACTTAGGTCCTTCTTTCGATTTTGCTTTTGGGCTCGCTGTTACTTGAGGGTTTTAACCTTGTTTGCAGACATATTTGCAGATCTTTTCTTGTATTATACAGCTTGCATGAAGTTTTTATGAAAACTTTATTAGGACTAACGTTTCGTTTTCTTTGTCTTTTACACAGCCAGATTGATTCGAGTCGATCTTCCAAAGCCATTCGCTCTTGTGATGTGTGTCTTCATTGAAGTATCTAGTCGAATCTAGCACAGTGGAGCAACACTCAAATGTTGTAAATTTAACCGTAATGATGCTCAGCTATTTGCAAAACTCTGAACCGCACGTGTCTGCGGTGGGGAACGAACGCGCTGAAAACTAGGTGAGAGACAGGCGAAACGAAGCACCCGCATGACGTGGTGGTGAACCGGTTAGCCCTCGGAAAAGATAATAGCGCGTTCTTTCCCCACCACGAACACCTGCAGTCCGGAGTTTTGCTCATATCTTAGCATCATTACGGTTGTACTTCACATGGTGCCCTGCCGTAAAAAATTGTAATCGGCAGCAAATGAAAAGTTAACATTTTGATGTAAATTTAGTTGCCTCTGTGTTGCTGGCTATAATTTAGTTGTTTTTGCAAATCGTTTGTCATTTGTGAGTTATGTCGCCCTATGCCGGTCGATACATCACCGATACAATACCGACCGCTTCAAGAATGATTGTTTTTATGAAAAGAAATTACTATCAGTATATAAAGCAGAGCGCTGCTACACTCCACTGGATCATTCGAGACGTGCTGGGCTCCACCTTGTATGAGCTTAGTAAGTTATTTTTTGTGCCAAAATTAAAGGAATCGTTTTTTCAATTATGCTATACCTTTCCCACTTTTGTAAAAGAGACAGCCAACAACCTTAGTAGTTGCAACGAGCTTTCCAAAGAAATTTGATACTAGTCTCCCCAACACCGGACGCAGTTGGTCATTGGTCGATGCAGGGCCTTACGAACGGTCCATCTTGAGTATTTGAATGTCTATTCAGTTCGATTAGGAAATAAATTTTGAATTGTTTCAGGTTTCGTGATGAATGGCATGGCACCAATTAGAAAAGTTCAGAATACGTTAAGAAACGTTTTCAAATAAAAGGAAATACATTGGTAACGTTAAGCTGATGTTTAGGGTATGTATGTTCAATAGTAAAGTATGTTCTAGGCATTAAATAGATTGCTTCACTTTTTTCAAATTAATTCAGGTAAGGGCTCACTGATGGACCAAAGGGCTGGAAGGCACAATTTACATGTACTTCTCGCAAACCATGTGACAGCCTTCCTCCAAAAGGAAAGAATCCCAAACCAATGGTGGACGTCGCGTACGGTCATCCTGCCTAAGAAAGATGACCGAACAATTCTTCGTAACTATCGCCCGATATGCTTGTTGAGTGTCCTCTACAAGCTATTCGCGAAAATTATCCTGTCGCGCATATCAAGGACGTTGAATGAGGCGCAACCAGTGGAGCAAGCAGGATTTCGACAAGGATTTTGCTGCATGGACCACGTCCATGCTGTATCCATGGCCATCGAAGTTTGTCGGGAATACAATCTGCCTCTAGTCCTAACCTTTGCCGACTATGAAAAGGCGTTTGACAGCGTCGAAACGAATGCAATCCTATCAGCGCTCGTCAACCAAGGAGTGGACCCGTTCTATATAAGGACTCTGTTCGACTGTTATCGGAACTGCACTACGAGAATATAGCTTTTTCATCGACCTCTTACAATACCCATAGGAAAAGAAGCTCGACAGGACGACACAACATCGCCAAAGCCGTTCAGTGCCGCACTGCAATGGATAATGAAGTCACTCGATTGGGATGGGAAAGGCATACGAATTGATGGAATATTCTTATCAACCCTTCGCTTCGCCTTGACATTATCATTTTCTCAAAAAGTACTAGCGAAGCAGAAGTGACGATCAACGAGCTCAACTAAGCGGGAAAAAAGATTCGCATAAATCGAAAGAAGACCCAGTTCATGAAAAATCCGTGGTGCGAAGGCGAAAAAATTGAATTGGATGGCTCTCTCATTGCAGAGACCACCTCGGACGTTAACCTTGGGCGATCAATGAACATAGAAAACAACATGAAGAAGGAACCAGATAGAAGAAGGAGAGCAGTTTGGGCCGCATTTCTGCCTCTAAAAGAAGTCACCGACCAATTGAAGGACCCGAAAATCTGCGCTCATCTCTTTGATTCTACGGTTCCCCCAGCGCTCTGTTATGCTGAAGAGACGTAGGCTAATACTTCAACCACGTCGAGAATACTCCGCAATAATCACAGAACGCTTGAGCGATTTCTTATAAAATGTAACCGACACTCTCAATATCTAGCGTGAATGCGGGGCTCTGATGCTCGAAATCTGTCACATCTTCGAGATCCAGGGAAATATACATCGATAGCGAAATATAGATGGTGTGATCACATAATAAGAAGAAGGGGACAGATGGACGAGAAAAGCTGTAGATTGCACTCCACGAGAATGCAAAGTTCCCATAGGACGACCACCTACACTTTGGGCGGACGTGTTCGTTAACAAAGTTAATCAGCTGTTTTCGCAGCTGCAGTTGTTTTACAGATCACAGTGTGAGCCTCTCATGTGCCACCATGGTCGAAGAAGACTACCACCATGAACGGCGATTGCGAGATAAAGAAGCGAATAAACAGCTCAAAGATTCTTTCATTATTTTCAAGTCAAAAATTTAGCCCATAACTCAGCAGTTATTGAAGGTATCGAGACTCTGAACACCACATCGTCACTTTTTATTTACTGCCTATTTTTTTCATAGCAGGGTATTATGTGAAATGTAAGTAAAATAATGCTTTGATATTTGCAAAGAAAACGCAGCAAATAGAAGCTGACGACATTGTGATCTATATTTTATATTCAATTTAACCGAGTCCAATGCAGATTTGTGCTCTCCAGATCAATCCCGTTGATGGGTAATAACTGATGGCGCTGATCGATAGAATTAGCTGAGAAACAGGGGAAACGACGGCCCGTATGGTGCGGTGGTGAACGTGTTAGCCCTCGGAAAGGTAATAGCGTGTTCGCTCCCCAACCGTAGACACCAGTGGTCCGCAGTTTTGCCGATATCACAGCATCACTATGGTTATATTCTGAACACCATTGAAGAAGATTTGTTCACTATAATAGATTCTCAGAAAGCAGTAGAAAGTAATATTACTCAAAGGACCTACTTTCTATAAACCTCGGCATAGATAGTTGATATATTTATTTATATGATCTTATAAACTGAACTTCTTAAGCTGACGCGAGGTTGGTACAGATCTTCGTTGTCGTTGTAGTTGTTTTTGATGTTATTGATCGATGGCTGACGTTTCTGCGATTTCGCCTTCCTCAGAGCCGTGATGTTACGTGCGGAATTGGCCAGCCATTGATCAGTAGCATCAAAAACAACGACAACGGCAACGAAGATCTGTACCAACCTCGCGTCGGCTTAAGAAGATCAGTTTATAAGATCACATAAGTAATATTGCTGTTTTCAGCCAGTCTGGGTTCAAATGAAATTCCATATGAACTTCCTAGAATTTTATATTATTGACAATCACTGAAATATTTCGAAACCGACCTTCCCTAAACCTCGGTGTGATTAATCAATATGTATACTTTCTTGATAAGCTTACACGAGGTTGATAAATATATTTATTTTCGGCTAACGTTTCGACGTCTTCGTCTTCCTCAGAGCCGGTGATCCGAGTCGATGGTCCATGCTTGTTGTTCGCCTCGACGTTGCGTCTTCGCCTTCGTGTCGAGCCAGATCTTCCTCAGTGAGCCATCTTCTCGAATGAGGCATCCTTACTTAGTGATGCCCTTTTATACACGATGCTGATGGTGGATATATAATGACAATGTCCGGTGGTAACAACTTGTATTTCTTCCGGACATACATCACTGCGCACATCGTGCAGAGGTCGGTATATTATCAGCTAGCACAAAGCGTAGTAATAGTAATAGTAAATTAATAGTAAATCACTGAGTGAGGATGCCTCATTCGAGAAGATGGCTCGCTGAGGAAGATCTGGCTCGACAGGAAGGCGAAGACGCAACGTCGAGGCGAACAACAAGCATGGACCGTCGACTCGGATCACCGGCTCTGAGGAAGACGAAGACGTCGAAACGTTAGCCGAAAATAAATATATTTATCAACCTCGTGTAAGCTTATCAAGAAAGTATACATATTGATTAATCACTGAAATGTTTTTTTATAATTCTATATGCACGATTAAGGTATAGCGAATTGATCCGAAATATTCCTAAATATTAAAAAAAACTTACTTAGATATTCGAAGTTGCGGAAGTTTTGTGTAAAGTCAAAATAGTGTCAGCTCTAAGCAACAAGACGGTGAATAAATTTGTTTATTGAAGATCTGCACGAAGGGCTCCCACGAGCTCTGACGGATTTATTCGTCATGTTCTTACTATTGCGATACTGCAATAGAGAGACTATGAAATGCTTGTAAACAAGTCTCCAAGCTGAATGAATTCATCGAAGTAGGTTCACTTTATGAAGTTTAAAAAAAGATCTCCACTTATTTTATCGTCTAGTCGATTGAACACTAAACAATTTTATTAACGACCGAGAGGGAAATGAATTGTTTGAACGACAACACGTCGCTGGCATCATTGTGATTCCGGTGGAACTCTTTTCGAGCGTGGAACTTCTTGAGAGTAAGGGATTCGATATCCTACGTCTAACACACCCTCCGATGACAAAAATTCACAATATCTATCATAGAGATGCTCAATGTATTGAAGTAGCCGTCAGCACAGAAAAGTCCTTGTTATTTCGGTTGCACAAAAAAGGTAGCAGAGCGCCTGTGAAAGTATTCATAACTCCTACCAGACCATTGTTTACATCGCTCGGATTCAGCCGCATCTCAATTCAAAGAGATTGTATATAGTTGTACATCTAGAAAGTTCCACAGCTTGTGAGAGCCCACCGTGAAGACCATTTGAGTACCGCCATAATATTCTTGAATAACTTGAAGCTCTCGAGTACATTGACGAAATAATTCCGCATCTCCAATTTCGGCTTATTACGGAGATCTTCATTTAACCTTTGTTCTTAAAGCCGCTCATCCAATGACCTACTTTCCACAGACTCACTTTGTGCCTCGCGCTGACCAGACCGTGAAGCAGCCGAAGACAGTGCTAGAGCGATGAAAAAACGCAAACAACAGCAACTAATGATATCTAATTCAGTGTGATAATATGTAACAGTTCCGGGGAAAATGGGGACATGAGCCAAGCTACACGCCAACAATTTCCTTGTGAGATCAGCACTGCGATCGCATGACGTCACACGGCGATAGTTCCTCTCGTTTACAATCGCATACAATTATGAGTAGTACGCAACTTCTGCAGCTAAAGCAAAACCGAACGTAAGTTGCATAAGTCGCATTTGCACTATGTCTTCGCCCCACATAAAAAGAATCCAGGTTAACGACACACAACGGTCCACAAGCACAACCACAGGCTTATAGCGAAGAATATCCGTCGGAGAGAACACAGGTACCCATGGTGGCGCTTTGTGTTGAGAAGAGGACGGAGTAAAGCCGTGCATCCTAAATATATTGCGAGCCTCGGCGACTCTCTATGGGTTACTCAAACTTTGGGTAATTAAACCAAGGTAATTAACTTGGGTAATTTGTGCAGTTTGCTGTCATAGGCTGGGTTCAGTATGGACAACTTGTTTTAATTTTTCTTCCTTGCTAATTGCCATTGTTCTTGCCTTGATTTCTGAAACGGGCTATATTTGGATTGCACACAGCGGTTACGTCTATGTGACGACCACTTACCACAGCATTATCACTGCAACCAGGTGATCATGACGCTCAACCTTGAATCGAACGCAGATGTACATATCGCTCTTTGATTTGTAGACGCTTTTGCTGAATACATTGATATCTGCACTGCATTTCCTCACAGTGAACTCATCAAAGCCCGGACAACCGAAATATCTCTCATAGTTCATGGATTCACAGGCTACATATATCTCTTACCATTTTCCGAACTGAGGGTTGACAAGGCCTGGTGATAATCTTCTAAAAGTCTACGTTCTGAAAAATATAAGTAGAACGTTGAGAAGAGTTAAAATAAGTGTAGGTTTTTCTAACATGACATCGTAGAAATCACTTTCCTTAGTGTTTACCTTTTTTGGATGAACTGTTACAAAGTGAGTCTGCATTGGTGAGCCGATGCTACGAGAAGAGCCATAGAATTACAACATAAAACACAAGTGCTCTATCTAACTCTATTATACTTGAGAACGTATACTAACTTGGGCCTGAGCAATTCAACCAGTAGCTCTTTTCGTTTTTGCTTCGATTCATCTTTTTTTCCGACCACTAAAAATATAGGCATCTATTTAAAAATAATCTGTTTCATTAAGGTTAGACCACTCTCCAAACATTTCCAAATCCACTTTAAAACGAGATTTTATGGAAAATCATTAAAAGGAACTTTCCGCAGTGCTGGTCTGAGCAATTAGCGGTGTACTGTAATGCATATCTTCGTAATATGGTCTTGATAGAGTTAGTAGAAATCCCGTGTTCGTAAATTTCTTGAAAACGTTTGAATGAGCTGAGGAGCGAAAGGAAGGAAAGAGAAAGAATCACGTTGATTTCTTGCCAACTGATCCTCTTTACTTTGATATCAAAATCAATGAAAAGTTCCATTGCAATAGTCTTCACAGAAACATGATGTTTAAGTTTGCAATGTTACTGCTATCCATGTGATATGAACCGTTCGCAGTGGAGCAGAACATAATATTTTCCAGTATTTGACTAATTTATCCAGTTATTTTTATACCTTCCTAATCTTAGAAAATAATGGCTACTAAAGAACGGAGGCATTTCCTTGCATTTTCATTGTAGTTCTTCATACATAGACTACGGAATGAAATGTCATGAATATTACCGTATGCAGCTACAAGCTGTTTCACCATCATCTCCAGTCGTGATACTATGAATAGGATTCAGATGGGTTTGGTGGTAGAGCAATTTGCTACGATGCGACTAGCTTGATACCAGAACGGTGATGGATCCTGGTAGTGGTCTACTCTTAGCTGAGTTTCCCAGTGGGAACGCCGGACTACTCAGCTTGGGAGACCCTCCCAAAGAGTGAACTCCCCGCCATACATTGCAGCCAGATACCCATGAACACCTCCCAGCCACGATGAGGCGGTAAACCGTTGCGAGGTGGTATTATGTATGTGTAGACGTGTCGGGAAAAAAGTCTTACAAAACAATCAGCACCAAATCAATGGAAAATGTGAGCTAATTATTGCACGATTCTTCGTGAAGACTAGCTCTTTATACAATAGAAACAAAGAGGGGAAGTGGAAGCAAAAGTTAAGTTCTTCTATACTTTTGATGATTGGAGAATAAGGAGTACAGTTATTCCTTGGCGGGGATTTCGAAATTCGCAACAAGTCCAGGTTCGAGATTTTTCCTTTTGTTCTAGAAAAAACGGATGCATTAGAACTTATTCCGATTTTCGGATCGAAAATAAGGAGCAATCTTGGAGACAGTCTTTTCTAATACTTTAGTACCCTTGAGTGAAATGATAAAGTTCATCAGTCTACTTCTTAAGGAATTCTGCGCTGAAGCGACCAATTGTCACCTTAAACAAGACTCGATCTTATTGATTTGAAGCATTCTAGTTGCATAAAAGATATTTCGACCTAATCTTCATCACAATAATGGGGTTTAAAACCTAACATGTTCCAGCAGTTATTCAAAAGAGATTTTTTTCATGGCCAAGAATGTTTCTACGAGGCCACAAACTACGAGCTCTACAAAATCTTGTTAGTATCACAATTGAGAAGGATAACTCTTCGCGACCAATTTGATAAATATAGGCTTATTTTTGGTTTGAAAACCTTCATTGAAAGATATTTAGTGAAGAACGTGCAAATAAATCTCTGATATTTGCGTGATTTCTGTTGGCAGAAATCGATAAAACTAACTAAGAGACAGGCGAAACGAAGGATCCGCATGGTGTGGTGGTGAACGCGTTACTCCCCGGAAAGGATAATAGCGCGTTCGTTTCCCACCATAGACACCTGCGGTCCAGAGTTTTGCAAATATCTCAGCAACGTTGTGGTTGTATCTCAGCATTGTTACAATAAATTCATTTTTCAATCGTACGCGCCTAAGAATGTCTTGTTCAGTATGCTACCTCTAGTGCCGTTTACTCCGATCTGCAAGCTTGCGAAGTTGGTCGAATGGGATGAGAAATGCACGCATTGATGAAAAAAGACCTACGATTTTCTTCTTCGTTTTTAATAAAAACAAGTTAACCTAGCGATTTTTGCTACTTTCTAGCTAATAGCATGGAAGCAAAAAGGTGACGAATTAGCAAATCAGGATAAACATAAACCAAAAGTTACCAAATTTCTTCAAGATGCCAGAGATATCCCACAGATACAGATATAAGAGGGCGTGGGTAGCACAGTGGTCGGAGAAACCATATAACACACGTGGAATCGATTTTTCTGCATGTGGTCCACCAAGCCTCCCATCCTTCCGGAGTCGGCAAAATGATGTCAGGCTTCCACCACGAGTCATTATTGTAAAGGCTAAATATGCATACAACTCCAAGCAATGCTTTGTGAAGTGGCGCATTCATCAGGAATTGATCAATGCCGAGAGCTTTATCCTTTATCCTTCTACCTCAGATATCCAGTCTAAATGAATGCTTCGTATATTTCCGGGTTAATTATCTATATTTTTATGCATACACTATTACTATTATGGGGAATGGGAAGTGGATGCCGCACAACAATTGCACATTCCATGTTTTGACGCTGCACTGTACCAGCCAAGCTGCCCAATTCTCCGAAGTTGTCGCATATAGGCTATCGTTCTCTAAGAACACATGCCTGCTTCGAAACCGCCTACTGCTTGTGACCAAGAAATGGGCGCATTCTGAAGAAAACGTCGCAGGATTCCGAAGCGATTCCCATTCTACCAAACATTAGCAAACATCTACCGATATACACAAGGAAGACGAAGTTATCAATTTCCAGTCAAATCCGTATGCAAATTCGTTCCCCTTTGTGGATGAGTGAAGCAAGAGAATGAATGAAATGCAAAGATCGGTGGAATGTCTACAAAATGTCAAGCCGTGATATGAAAACGAAAAAGTAGTTGTAACCGTTGTAACCACTGAAGATGAACTTATTTTTCTTTATCGTGTCAATAAAATAGTGTCATCCTACTTACTGTCATTTTCATTTTCAAAACACTTCACAAATCACCGTGCAGTTGGATAGATCTTCGCAACTTTGGTCAAAAAAGTACAGCTTTGAGGTTAGTGGGCCATATTTACCGTATGGCAAATAAAACGATAGCGCTTTCTTGTTTCAGGATAAATACAAGGTCACGTAGTGGAAAGACAAAATCAGCGTAAAGCGTTTGAACGCTCCATTCATGAATTGATCCTAAAACTAACTGCATTCTTCAGATCGTACTTTTATAGGCAAAGGCAAGGTTTGAAAACTTCATACTCATTTTTTTGTGCTTACAGGCAATCAACGTTGAAAGCACGCTATCCCGTCAGATTTGAAAATACTCTTAGAAAATACGCCCAGATAGTTGCCACTTCATCACCTCATTTGTTACCTGCTTTTTGAATTTTTCTCGGTATTTTTATTTTTCAGAGACTCAAACGTATATGATCTTACTAAATCAATAGAACACTGCAATGTTACAAAACTACCATACCATATTGTTCTAGCCTTTAATTACTTTTTTACGGCAAGGTATGATGTGAAATACAGCCGAAAGGATGCAGAGATATGAGCAAAGCTCGGAACCCCAGGAGTGCTTCGGATTTTCGACTACCTATCGAGTGCTATAGCACCCGATAGACTAGAAACAGGAGAAAAAGGCTAAGCGAAGGCCTCGGTTGGTGAGCTGGATAAAATGTAAGCCCTTGGTAAGAGAAATCCCGAGCTCGAAGTCTTCTTAAGGCTCCGACTTTTGCTCTGAACATTGTTATGGTTATCATACCATATTTTCCTATTAGTGGTTGTTCAGTACCACTTTCCGTCTATATTTGAAAGCACTGAAAAAGAAGACGGATCTGTAACGACGCCCTTTGCTTTCTTTGCCAACTTTTACTCTCGAAATGCGGCTTTATTCCTGGTCAATCGATTCTAATCAAACTTGTCCTTATCTTCGAGAAATTACCCTTATCTATCCCAAAATTTGCTTAGAAGGAAAAAAATTGCGCTGAGAAAAAGGCACCTTGATGGTGCACTGATATTGCAGAAAACGTCAATCCACAGGATACACAATGAAATTCAGACGTTGTACGAAACGTTGGATAAGAAGTGAAATGAAATTGTATCTTTCATACACCAAAAGTATTCACTGACTATAGAGGATAATTCAGGTAGTTAGCAGAGGTTTAAAATAGTTGGAAATTACTTGTGTTTTATTAAATAGAATGTAATTTAAGAAATCGCGGATTCTTGGGAAACACTGGCGGATTTCCGGGAAGATGTTGCGGATGTTCAAAAAGCAGAGGAAGACTTCCGGGAGGTAGAGCACTCCC